ACTGTGTTCATGAGCATGTATTGATCTTTCCCAGTGTGCTCTACCATTTCTTTCCTTACAGAAAAACACACTCACACCCTTTATTCCTCTTTTTTTATCTCATAGGCCAATGTGTGTGACGTTGGTGTTCAACACAAAGGGTCAGAGGCATCTGCGAGTGGGGCTGGCTGTACCGCTGTTTGGCTCCCTGTCCACTCTGAGAGCTTTGGTAGCAGCGGAGGGCAACATCTCTCCTGACCAGGTACTCACACAGTGTACAGAGTGTACAGAAGAAGTGGATTACACTGATCAAGACCATGTTGCATTGCGTTCCCAATAACTAAATAATAAATAATAAGTGTCCTTCTCTACCCAAGCAGAGAAAAAAACAAAACAAAAGAAAGATGACCTGTACTGGACCCACTTTTGAGACTTTTAGCTGCTATTGTATTCATATTGTACAGATTATTAGGTTCCTTAAAAATATCTTTAAGTGATTATGATCAGTTCAGAGGTGAATCCAAGAACTCAGGGAGAGGAACAAAAAGCAAGGTTTTATTTTTTTTTAAAAGGATTGCCACGGTTCTCAGAAAGTTCAAAGGAAGTAACAAAGAAAAAAAACTAAGCCAAATGTGATAACGTAGGCACTGGGTATACAACAATACACACAGAAAAATAAACTCACAAGGTAAACAGACAAAGGACAAATGGGGCACACAATTACAAAGGAGGGAAAAGAGTAGAAAGTAAAACTAGAACATGCCTCTTTTTTATTTCCCAATTTGCAAATATTTAATTTTTGTCTTTGACCCCTGTCCATGTGTCTTAGTCCCTCCCACCAGAGACGTGAGCGGATGAGGTCAGAAAGACACACAAAGACAGTGGAGTCAAAGCAGCATTTCTAAAATCTGATGTCCTGTTCTAAGAACTCTCATTTGAACATTTAATGCTGAATTTAATGTCAATTAAATGAGTTGTTCGCTGCAACTGCATCATAATTTATTTTTTAATTAATAGCTCAACTACTGCTGTATTTTATCATTTCAAAAGTCACAGTGCTAATGACGTTTTTTAATATTTAAGACAAGTTTTAAATTCACATCATGGCACATCGTGACAATACATTATACCTTAATCAAACAGAAAAAGTGAGAGAATGTTTGATCATTTCAGCTAACTGAAACAGTGTATGCCTGCCATGGATGAGTTATTTAAAGAGTCCTCCTTCTGCCATGGATTGATTATTCAACCTATCTGTCACATTTCTTTTACATTGTCGGTATAAATAGGTAGAAATACTTCCTCCCCCAGCAAGCCTTCCCTGTCCTCTGTTGCCCTTTTCCAAAAATAGGAAGTTTGTGGCGTCCATGGCCTCAAATGTGGGGAAATGCTCTGCTTTTGTTTTAATAACATGTATGATTAGCAATATGCCCCAAATAATTTTGTAGCAACGGTATAGTGAACAACACAAACACAAAACATCCTATTTTGTGTTTGTGAGGTATGTTTTGCTTCTAATCATAGGGTTAATGAGTAAAATAGTAAGCAGAAGCCATTTCTCTAGCCGAGTGCATCTGTACTCTTGACTAAATGCACACACTTCCAGGTAAATGTCACCAATAGGTAAAAATGTCAAAGGAAAAGTTCTAGAGGTGTGTGTTCATCAGTCATTGCCCTGTCCTGAAACAGATGATGAATGTTCTTGGCTTTGCTGAAGCTGGGTCCATAGCAGCAAGCGAGCAGCACACACTCAAACAGTCCTCATCAAGACAGAAGTGAAATGCAATACACTCACATTGTGTACTATTTCTCGGCTTGTTGGTTGATTTTGTAAGTGCGGTTGCACCACAAGATACAGGAGATGGGTGTGGTCTGACCAATCCGTACCGAGTGGAGGGTTCTGTTTATTGTATTTCTAATGTGTATGAGTTATCTTAACTGTTGCACAAATATATTTTCATATATTTTTTATTCGTGTGGTTTGGTGTACATCAACCTTTATACACTAGAACTTACACAATAAGCCCATCAGGCTATACAGAAGAATTGCAGACAAAGGGCAGAACAGCTGAACTATAACAGATGAAGACAAAGTAAATACAAAATGAAATAAAATAAAGTAAAATTGTAACATTGTGATCATTTCTGTGGTTTTGACAAAAATAAATTTAAAGACAGATGGATTCCCATTCAGAGGGGATTCAAAGTGCTTAGATTAACATGCAGGCAATTATTCCCTCTTTTTTTGTCCAATGCAGCTGCCTCCATTTGGAGGATTATTGCCTGTAATATGGCTCAGTGTCCCATCCACGCAATTAAACTTGTTAGACATCATGAGAAAATATACAATGTACACTGTGCAAGACAGACATGGGAAGGATGAAGCCAGAAAGAGGCTCCATATCTAAAGTTTGCTTTCCAAAAAGAAAAAAAAACATTAATATGAGTTAAACATGAAAGTGCTGTTTTGTTTTTTAGCAGCGACTGCCTCGTTTACTTTGTGTGAGACACTGACAAGAAAGTGAATCAGATGCACTCCTCTTTAATAGCAGTGGGATGGTTGAGGACATTTAGTTGAGCTGGATTCGACAGATCGAGTAATTAGCCCCTATCCTTAGTCTTTTTTCTTCTAAAACTGAAAAGTGCTTTTTAAAAATGCTTCTGGTGAAGTATAAATTTCACATTATGGCTTCAGCTTAGTCCTTTTTTGAGGGTGTCTTCTTCACCTCATTCTGGCGCACTGAGCAGTAATGACACTCTTCACTGGTCCTTGATGGTGTAGGGCAGCAAAACTCCCACTAGTTCTTGTTAGTAGTCCAACAGCTTTTAGGGATTGAAAAAGCCAATAATACTTCGGAAACACACTTCACACAGTAAAGATTTTGCTTCATTAAAAATCTGTGTTGTCTTCTGTGTTAGCTATGTGAAAGCCTGGTGACTGAATGGCAGATCAGATAAACATATACAGATTATTGCAGGGCTGGCACATAGAGGAAGCCAAACATTTACACCTACAGGTAATGCATGGGGTTAGGTAATTCACCAGTTAACCTAACCCCATGCATCTCTTTGGACTGTGGAAGCTGGAGTACCCGAAGAGAGTCAATACAGGAAAACATGGAAACTCCACACAGAAAGGCACCCCTTTGGATTCAAACCCAGGACCTTCTTGTTGTGAGGTTACATTTCTAACCACTGCACTGCCACCTGGAATAACATGGGAAAAAAATACACAGGCATCCACACCAAAGTATCGGCAGATGCTGGGCTGAGAATAAATCGACACACACATCACTCACTGCATCACGGCAGCTGTAAGATTTCAAGGACTGCTTTGAGCTGTGCATCTCTTAGTATTTGTTATGCTTTTTGCATTGCACGACAGAGGCGCCTCTTTGGTGTTTGCCTGTATTTGATGACTGTGGAGTGACATGTTGTCAACAGAAATTCTCCTATTGAAGCAGTTATTCATCTGTCAGGTATATGATCATCGCAATATTTTGATTTTGATTGGACATCATCTCGCCATGTCATGTGATCACGTGATTTAAGATAGCACTGCTCTGTGCGGAAAAATGTACAGTTACCACGATGCCACAAAGACGTAAAACTGGTGTTTTGCGGTGTTTTTAAATGTTGAATAAACACAAATAAAATAAAAATGATTTATATTAAAAAGCAATAACAACTCTGTTGGTTCATAAATTATTTCACAGGATCATCAGTCTTTTGTGTTTTTTTTAACATGTTGTTTGCTGGGACTAAATTAAAAAAGAAAAAGTGTACATATTTAACTGAGTACTGTATTCAGACTTCAGGCACTTCATCATCATCATTTTGCTCTGTCAGCAGTAAGTGTCATGACACTCTTTACTGCATGCATGGTTAGATACGAGCAACAAGACATAGAAAATCTCACATGTTAAAGGTTCTTGGCAGGAGTCAAGCTAAGTAAGCTACAATCATGTGGCTCATCCAACCACAACTAACTATCCAGTTTGTACTTCAGTGATTAAAACAGTCACAAAGGTGAGTTGCAGTGTCATTCAAGCTCCTGAACACTGAACTAGGAAATACACATCGCTGAAAACACATTTTACTAATTATAGCCCCTTTGCAGATGCTTGTATCGTCACGGTTTGTCCTGATGTTTTAGTCACAAAGTGTAATCTCTCTCTGTACCTGATCAGCAGTGT